GGCGAACGGCGTCGCATGAGGGCCGGTGTTCTGCAATTTCGGAATGGTGGAGGGTCCTTTAGGGTTTAGGGTTTAGGGGTTTAGGGGTTTAGGGGTTTAGGGTTTAGGGTTTGGGCTTTAGGGTTTGGGCTTTAGGGTTTGGGGTTTAGGGTTTTGGCGGGATTGTGGATTTAGACAGCTGGCCCCAGGTGAAGCAAACAAGCCCTTTGGGACGGTTGTGGGGCCATAAGACTGAGAGTCCACACTACAGAGATTCGGAACTAGGAAAGTTTGAGGTGTTGGGTGGTGTTGGTCGTGGCGACTGGGGTTACTTCTCGCTTGACCACTTCACCTCGCGGAATATGGAATCTCGGGAGTTGTACTTCCGGTTGGGCGAATCCCCATGCTTGATGGCTGCAGGAGTTAGGGCTTTGGGCTTGAGGTCCCAGCCATTCTTTCGGGCTGCCGCCTGCATGCTCGTGGCGTGGCATCTTCACTGCCGTAGTCTCAATCACTAGACTAGAACCATGTTTCCTGTATATCATCAAGCCCCTAAACCCTAAACCCTAAACCGTGCCTCTCGGCCTGAAGTTAAATTTATTGTTCCGATCCTCCTCGCCATCGCCTCTAATGCCTGCGACACACTGGATAAGTCTAAAAGATCTGATGCTTGCGCATCTGGGGCTCCATGGCAGTCTGGCTTGGGCTTCAATGTGTCTCAATCCCGCTTTAGGGGTTTAGGGTTTAGGGTTTAGGGTTTAGGGGTTTAGGGGTTTAGGGTTTAGGGTTTAGGGTTTAGGGTTTAGGGTTTAGGGTAAAACCTTCAGCAATTCTCCCATGACAATGCTGCTTCGGTTGCCTTTGGGCACAGAGACTCATCATCTGAGCGTTGCACCGCATAATCCAACCCCTTGTCTTGCCGCTGCTCTGAGCGACTTTGCGTGAAAACCATGAGCTGATGTGTAGTTTGTGGTCTTAGCGTGCAGGGTGCAGGGGCAGAGGGCCAAGCTTGCAGCATTGACGGTGTCGACCTTGGTCAACCCCAAGCTCGAAATCGCAACTCATGTCACTAGTCTTTTGATAGCTACTTTATTGTTTTACTACTACTACTACTACTACTACTACTACTACTACTGCTACTACTATTATTATTACCACTACTATTTTTATTGTTGCTATTGTTACTACTATTGCTAAGCCCTGTCCGAGGACGGATCCCAGGATGCACTGAGCAGGGTGAAGGGGAACTTCTCCTGTGCAGCGCGCGGCCGGCGAGGGCAGTCGTGAGACACGCACGCACACACAACTCTAAACTCCTAGCCGCTAGTCCGAAACCAGATTATGCACCCTAAACCCTAAACCTTATAGGCTCAACCCTGCAAAGAAAAGGACACCCCATCCTCAAAACACCAAAACTGCTGAAGGCTGTTGGGGTGCAGATCCAAGGCCCTGAAGAAAAGAACAAAGCTTCCGAGGAGCTAAGTCCCGATAGGGCCTGCGCCGTTTAGAACGATACCTTTAGGGTTGTCTTTGGGGTTTAGGGTTTAGGGTTTACAGAAGGCAACCCCGAACCCCAAAAATAGGCGAAACCCCCCCTGTCTGTAAGGCAAAAGGGTAAGGTTTCCTACAACTGGGCTGATCAAAACAGCGACAATAATTTGAAGAATCGGTTCACAAGCATAACAGCCGTCGTAACCACGATCATAATCATAATCACGGTCAGAATCCTCATCCTGATCCTCGTCTTAATCCTAATCCTTGTACGAATACGAATACTAACACTGATAGGCATACCAATACGAAAATCATGAATACTCGTTCTAGTACTTATACTAGCACAGTACCAAGACCACTCACACAATACTGACACTAACGGGGACTAATGATGTGCAATACGGTTGATGATATAAATCCTGCAGTACCTTAAGGACCCTAAACTATGGGAATTATGGTATATTCCTTATTATGGGTAATGTAGGACTTATATCATCAACCGTAGTAGCTATGTTTGCAAAGAGAGGAGCGGGAGAGCCTTGGCTCCGAAGCTCAAAGCAGTCACCACCTGCCAGGCTTGATAATCGGGGCCTCAAGAATTAGAATAGGGTTTGGGGAGTCCTTTAAAGGGTTCCTTAAAGGGTTTTGTAAGGGATCTTCTATAAGGGTTTAGGGTACAGGGGCCTCAATAATTAGAATAGGGTTTTGGGTGTGTGTATTATCGTATACTTATAATCAGGATAATGATGTAAGAATATCACTAACTGTTTAGGCTTCTACATTACAGTCATGGCGGTTTGTTGCAAGCTGGCACGGTACCCTTCTCGGAGTTTTGTGCTTTCGGGTTTAGGGTTGGGGTGTAGGGTTGCGCTTGGGTCTTTGTATGAAGGGTCCGACGGATCCTTAAGGCAGATGATCCTTCTAAAAAATCCCTGTGAAGTCTCGACATGCGGAGGATCTTTCCAGTAGCTGTACAGCGGACAGGGCAAGGTCCCGTTCACGTCGCCCGCGTGGCGGAAACCCTAAACCCGAAGTCTTGAACCGCAGGCTAAGCCAACATAGGCGCCTTACTAATTCAGTAGGGTTTGGGGTATATTATACACCCTCAGGGATAATTTTATACACCCTCAAGGATAGTATTACTAGCTGTTAAAGCTCCTATACTACAATGACCAATGGGTTGGCAAACTTCTCGCCTGCGAATGGCCACCAAGGCAAAACTTCGGCGGCGCCTCGGTGCAGGGTTGTCTCTGTGGGAGGGGACTGGGCGGGGTCCAGGAAAATGTAAGGCTTCTGAAGGATTTTGCTTTGTTGACAGCCGGCTTCGTCTGTGGAGTTTAATGACCTATTTGGAGAATGTGCCATCCCGGACTTGGCCCAGTAACCCTACCACCTCAAACCCGGTGACCAACAGGTCACCAACAAGTGGTGTAGGCTAAGACGACTTCCATGAGTCACAGGAAAGATCGAAGGGTGCGTGTGACCACTATCATCACTACTGAATTCACTACTGCCTTGCCTGCGATAGAATTACTGTTAGGATTGGGAGGAGTCGCAGTCGTCATCGTGGTCGTGGTTGTCGTGGCAAGTATTTGTCGTTGCAGTTATACTTGGAGCTGTTGTTGTGGTACTACTGTTACTACTACTTGGTAGAAGAAGAAGTAGTAGCAGCAGTAGTAGTCGTGGCGATGTGGTGGTAGTAGTTTCTGGGAGTGGTGAGTGGTAGTAGCGCTGGTCTGACAGTAGTAGTAGTAGTAGTAGTAGTAGTAGTATTGCATTGCAACCGTCGCACAATCCGAGTGCATGACGAGGGCGAGGGGACAAACACACCGCATTGCAGTGCATCCGGCCGTTCAGTGACGGCTTCACCACTTTCGGTGATCCCTTAAGCTAGCAACATCAAAATCTTGAAGCAGCGTTGACATCCACTAGTCCATGGTGTTGAGCGGATCATATTCATCTCCCGAGTCCGAAACCACGATTGGCTCCCGCTGATAATCCCGTGGATAGGTGCTCCGCTGTCCGCGGGTTGATGCTTCACTGGCTGTCCCAGAAGCAGCATCCATAGATCCACTTGCACCTGTTCCTGCGGCCGTTTCAGCAGCAGTCGACGTACCCATTGATGGATTGAGCACCGGCGGCGTTCCTCCTAATCCCGCCTCACGTGGAATTCCTGAAGAAGAAACCGCGCCCACCGCTTGTGCAAGCTGCTGTCGATATTGGCAGGAGCCCGCATGTTCCCTTCCGCTGCTCCATATGCATATGGTACAGCAGTGGATGTGTCCTATGCCAGCCAAGCGATTGCAGTTTGAGTAGTAGTAGTAGTAGTACAAGTAGCAGTACCAGGAGTAGTAGTAGTAGTCGTAGCAGCAGCAGGAG